AAATCAACAAAACAAGCACACTTAGTCCCTACATTAGGTATGGTAGAACAGCTTGTTAAAAATGATCCTGGGAATCATATAAAATTAAATATTATTGGAACTGGACCACCTCTTCCTGTTTCCTAGAGGTTAAAAGGAACAAAAAGCTTGATAGGCACAAAGCAGTGATAACTTAGGACTATTAACCTAGACCTAAAAAACTACAACTTCTGACATTCATTTAATAGTCATATTGATTATCAATGGAGTAGTTCATAAAAAAATAACAGGAAAGAGTCACTTTAATTGATCAAACACTGCTTAGTCAGCATATCCTGAATCTTTATTTGTGAGCATGAATGAAATGTAAACCAGGGTTTTATTCTTATCCCTGACTGCTCAGTCACTCTTTCAGTGGAGTCCAGTTAACTGATATGCCATAGGTCTTAAGGGAGCTATTTAGAACTTTGAGAATTTTCTTCTTCCTGGAAAATTGTTTTTAAATAAAAAAAAAATATTTATGTATATTTGGCAACTTTTCTATCTAAAACTGCCTTGTTTCCTAGAGGTTTGTTTTGGAGCTCACTAAGCACCAGAGAAAGCTAGTGAGCCTTTGGCCTAAGGAGACAAAAGATTGCAACAGCTACAGAGATAGCAACAACATTCCTGCTTGTCCAAGGAACCTCATTTACCACCTCTACAACTGGACCCCAGCACTTCTCAAGTCCTTACTGTACAGCAAAAGCCAAAAAACCCAGGGAGACAGACAAGCAGCTCAAATGCTCAGAAATTGCAGGCATCTCTTTCAACACCGTCTTCTTTCTCTGTTTTTTTCACAGTTTACGTATCCTGACAGATCTGTAACTTGTGGCAGCCAGCTGCTGTATTTTCTTCAAGTGAGGGAAAAATCAGTGTCATCAAAGACACATGGTTTGGGTTTTTTTTTTTTTTGGGGTAGTTCCAGTAGGTCAGGCTTTGCAAGAAAGCTTTCAAAATTTCCTTCAAAACAGCCATGCAAAATTCCATCTGGAAGAATTCAGAATTCTGAAAGATTTTTTAATTTCCTTTAAAGCAGATGGCAAATGTGATAAAAAGGGTCATTTGTTACATTTTTAATTGGTTTCAAATATACCTTATTTGACTCATAACCCTGTTAAAACTGCAACAGTGTTGTTCTATGCTTGAAATTCCTTTGTTACGCTATAAGTATACTATAAATGTTGAAAGTGTGTTACGATTCTTTGTAAAGGTCATTTACATAACTGTGAAATCCTAAATATTCCTGGGCTAAGGAAGTTCTCATTTATTAATCTTTTTGTTGCTATTCACCTACCAGTGAATGTTTGCCTCTAATTTTCTCTCAGTTCAAGGAGCAGTGATGAGTCCTGAGAGGTTCCCCTGGAAATAATGTCCTCAGATACTTGGAGTGAGAACTCTCCCTTCAGTTGCATAGCAGTTGCTGCCTACCATACATGGAGGTGCAAATTTATGTTACTTCTCTGCTCCAATAGTCTCATATTAGTAAGAACAGCAAACTAAAACCACAGGATATGTGGACAGCAGTAGGGTAAATGCAAAGCCATATTCTTCTATTTGACTTCCCTGAAATATGAGGACATTTTTACTTGCTTGCTTGTTAGGTTTCCCACGTGCTTTTTCATGTTTTTGACCTTGAAAGTTTGCAAGGACTTTACTTGACACATTTCCTCAGTATTAGCTTGATTTCCATTACTATCTTTCCCTCTCCCTCTCCATATGTCTTTTATTCAGTGAATGGTGTGTAAATTGTAAAAATAGAATGACAATGGTGGATATGATTTTTATGCATTTTGGTAGAAATTTCATCTCAAAGTATACAGCAAATGAGCATGAATTTTATAATTATTTATACTGGTGTATCAGAGAGAACCAATTAAGCTATCTCCCTGAGTTCCCAGCAGAGTTACTGGAAAGAAATTGAAAGCAGAAGCCTACTTTAACTGCTCTCCATTTCCCCTGAAGGAAACTATTTCTCTCCACTGCATGGGACCTAAAGATAGGCCTCTTCCTTAGCCTATTTGTTGCAGTTTCACTGTGCTGGAACTGGTTCAGCCCAGTGGGCAACCCCTGGGCTCCTCCAAATATCGCCCACTTCCAAGCAGAAGAGCAAAGAACAGAGCAACCCTTCCACTTGTTACAGCATATGGACAGTATAGCAGGGATTCCCAACTGGCCAAATCTGACCATTTCTAAGCTTCTTAGTACAAGCCGACCAATCTGGTGGCCTCAGAGTATACTAGAAATGGAGAGTTATTCCTTTACTCTTTCTTTCATTTTCCATGGTTCCTGGAATTCCACAACCCAGGATCTATGATACCTAATCGTGGTTTTCAGGTTTACTTATTTCTGAGGATAAGTAATGTTATGATAAACAGGGTTTGTGATGTTATAAATTGTTCATGTATTTTCACATATATTTCCTTATGTATTTCCTTATGTTATAAAACATATTGCTACCTCAGAAAAGAATGTTCAGTGGCCCTGAAGAACAGCTGATCATATGGGTTTCGTAACCTAACTTGAAAATAGTACATTTGAAGGTCCGTTTTCAGTTTGTTTAATAAAGCGTTGTGTATAGTATTAGAAAACTTCCCCTGCAGCAGCAGATGATGTCAGGAAACAGTTGGATAGCTTGATCCAAAGGAGCAGTAGTAGCTGTATGGCAATGGCAATACATATGGTAATAGTAATATGCCATAATATCACTCTGTGGACATTCTACTTGCTTATCTGCAATACCGCTGTCAGCAAACTTACAGCACCAAAGAGCACAGACTCCAGTGATATGCAGGCAAGGCAGTTTTTCTCACATGGTCAGCAACAAAGTGCCTAAAGAAAAAATTCCCACCTAAGAGAAGATATGCCACTGCCAGAGCTGGAGATCTGATAACTGTGAGATGTGATGAATTATATTCACATCCTCAGTAAGAGGGCCGTAATTGTCTCTACTCTCTAATAACTTATCTAAATACTTACAAACTGCAAGTGGACAACTTAACTTGCAAATAACTTCACAATCCTGTCTGTATTTATTAATAACATCCTATCTGTATTTATATATATATATGTAATATATATACATATAATCATCTAGAATTTAGAGTGAATTCTTCTCAGGAATAAGGAAAAGGACCTAATGAGTCACCATTTTGAGTCACATCTTCTATGAGATAATGCCATCCTGCAGAAAAGTCAGGGCAGCTCTCAAATCTAGGGTAAAATTCTTGATAAGACATCAATTTTAGATTCAAAACTGGGCAATTACCTTGGGCCCCACAGGCACTCTGTGGGTTTACACACTGGCTTATAGGGATGAATCAGATCACTGTGTATCTTCCGTGCCACTGGCAGAGTACAAGTCCTAACCCCTAATTTCAACCTACAACCTCCAAAAGCCTAAAACTTCAGACTTCTTGCTTAACTTTGTCAGAAAGATACTGTCACTTCCTTTGTCATATAAATCTAACTGAGGTCGTCGATGTTTACATACTGCTAGGCAAGCAAAGAAATCTGAACATACATCTTCAAACAATCTGATAATATGAAATCTGATGGATTATGGAAAATAGTATTTGTGAAAGATACAGGAAGATAAGGAAGATTTCTTTAGAAAAAAAAAAGGAAGACAAGAACAGTGAATTATATCTTTGTCAACAGTTACTGGGTACATAAAAGTCAAGTGAGTCTGCTTGCAGTTTAAGATCAACCCTGAGAATTTAAATGAGTTTTGCTCAGAAAACATGAACCTGTCTGAAAAGGTTTTCAATTTTTAAATTTGCAGATCAAAAATTTGCACTGCACAAAGTGTTTGCCCACTCTGGAGTTACAGGCATTTGGGTGTCTGTAACATGCTATGGCTTCCAAGGTCTGGGATATGGTTACACCTATCTTAGAACAGCAAAAAGGGCAGAGGGTTTATAACCTTCCTCTGTGCGTCTTTTCAAATGTACCTGCTGCATATTGAACTGTAATCCAATCAACCCTCTCTTGAATCTCAGAGCTGAAGGATTCAACAAGTTCAAGGGGAATTCAAGGAGAGAGGAGAAAAAAAGCTGGGCTGAGTGTGATGTCAAACTGCAAAAGTTCTGCCTTCAGCTGCATATGAGGGGGTGGTGGTGACAGAGGTAACTGGCTCCCGCTGGCTCAGTGTGGGTCCCACTGCCCTCTGCTGCACCCCTGCTTTCCTTGCACACACATCCTGGACTGAAGCCCAACTGTGGGATGCCACCACCCCAAGCCAATGCTAAGTGGATGGTTGAGCAGGTTTATTTAGTTCATTAAAACTGAAAAAAAAAAAAATCTTGCAAAAAACCACATGAAAGATAGCAATTTTTTTACAAGGTTAGCAGATTGACACAGTTTTTTGTGTGATCAGATGAGTGTCAGAGTGACGCAAAGGAGGAAAAGATCAAGCAGCTGGGAAGCAGACTCAGGAGAGGAAGGAACGGAGCACGCAGGAAAGAGACTGACATCTCCTGCTTTTACTGGAAGCAAGCCCTTAGTTTAGTTTAGTTGTAATATGAAACCATACCTTGGGTGTACATATACACTCAATAAGTGCACTGCTATGTGAGGAAGATGCTCAAGGCACCTCTTGTAAAGAATGAACAATCTGCTTCTCATAGGACCAATTGGGCATCACTGCACCAAATTCTGCTTGTAGGTGATTTATAAAGCCATGTTTTTGAAGTCATACCCAGCACAGTGAGAACTGAAAAGGGCTACCAAAAAGGAGGGTACAGAAGGAGAAGATCACTGTCATTCTTTGCATACCTAGACAGGAGTCATGACCCTGTGTTGGAAAAACACCGTTCTAGAAAAAATATGTGTATTTAGGAATAATGTTTTGCTGATAGATATACTGTGGGGAGGCCCCTGTTGCATGCCCTATTGGAGTTCAAGAGAAATTGGCAAAATCTGAGCACTGTGCCTAAGGATAATGATGTCAGATCATGACGACCCTTTTTGTTTTTCCCTTTCAGATCAGTAGATGAAGTAAAGGCTGTAGCCTGCAAACAGTGAAGTCAACATGAGGTCTATCCCTGCCAGGTTTGCAGGAACAGCCCATACGTCTCACAGGAAGGAAAATGGTAACATCGTGCCTATGCCACAGGTGAGAAATCTGAAGTGTAAATCTAGTGGCTTTTGACACAACTCACAGGATCTCTGTAGACGGTGACACTAAATGTATTTCCTCTTCATAACACATTTTAAAACTTCATTTTCTTTCAGAAGCAAGAGTACAGCAGGATGAGGGAAGGGTCAAGTTATATAACTAAAATATACTTATTAAAAAATGAAGGGTTTTGTATATTTTTACGTAGCTCTATGATCAAGAAAAGTAAATTATTATACCAGTGACTTCTACTCACGCAAAATATTTGTTTAAAACTTAAAATTTTGTATAAAAATATTTATACCAAATATTTCTGAATAAAAAACAGCATGACATTTTCCACACCTAACTTGACAAACCTTGGACTGAACACAGCCTATGCTGATTGAAAATCTGGATACGTATAGTAACAAAATAAACCTCTGACTTGTCCTTTTCTTTATATAATGTAAAGGTACTGAGAGTTAGATTCTCAAGAGAACAAAGGGGCCACAGCACCAAGTGTTACAATGCTCAGCCTGCATTGTAGTGATCAATTTGGCTCCAAGCTTGTATGGCACATGGGAAAGGTAATCTGGGAAAAATTAATAACCCACTGCCAATAAGCAAGGCAGGAGCCATGTAAACTGCCCAGCAATAAATACTGTTTTTAATCAATATTCATTGACCCACAGGAATAGCAGTAGCTTGGTAATACAGTGGCTGGGAACTCATTTGATGTCTGTGTGCTAATTAACAGCTATTTTATACGGACACTTATAACCCTGGTATGTATTGGAGGTCTCCGCTCCAGGATACACAACAGCCTGGGAGCCTGAGAAGCAGAAGTGCAGCCTGCAATCTGTCCCAGGTAGGGTGCGGGAGGATCTTCTGCCCCTGACCTTCAAGTAAATGACCTCATATCTTGTATTATTTCCTTTGAAAACATTGGGTAGTTTCATTTTTTTTTAATGCATGTTGGTCTTTTTTCCTATATTGAAGACCACTCCGAACTTGTTAATGTGACCTGGAGGAACTCAAAAGCAGCATCTTGCAAACTCACTTTTCATGACTGTGTCGATGACCCAAGAACATCCCATCCATTTTCCTATCTTCTTTACTGCTTTGCTGCTAGTGCCCACCTTCTGTATCTTATCTAATGACTTCTCCATGACACAGTGCTTAATTTATGACCTTTTAGATGAGATTCATCACATTTCCTTTGTTTATAAAATCTATTTTCTTACAAAAGTAAAATACCAGACATTGCTACAGTGATGACCCTAGGAAGTCTATATTGCATCATATTACATTTGCTGTTTAATTATGAGTCTTTATTTAGTAACATCTGTCCATTTATTCTAATACTCTTGTATAACCTTAAGATCAGGTTACAGTTTCTTCAGGTATTTAATTTTGTTTTGTTTTGTTTCTGAAATCATAGAGTCATAGAATGGTTTGGGTTGTAGAGGACCATAATGTTGACCTAGACCTCTACCATGGGCAGGGATGCCACCCATTATATCAGGTGCTCAGGGCCCATCCAACTTGGCCTTGAGCACTTTCAGGGATGAGGCAGTTCATCTGCACTATGTGTGCTGCTTCCCAAGTAAGTTTATGTAGAATACCTGCTGTTTCATTTATCATTTCTAAAGGACTATAAGGTTAAAATTAAAGGATTCCTTCGCCAGCAGAGTGTTAACTATTTGCTTAAATACTGTCATCATGTTTTGGGCAGTCTCCAAATCCTCATCCTCATTACCACTCTTGTCTTTACCCTCTCCTGCTGCACTGTTTTCTACTATGCTGGCTGGCATAGTAGAATATACTGAAGCACTGCCTCTACTAGCAGGATTTTTTTCTCCATTCAGTCTGGGAATTGCAAAGTGCCAAATAGTGACATGGGGCTTCTCATGGGAATTCTGGTAGCATATTTCTCTAATAATATTTTTAATATCTCCACCCATATTCAAACTCAACCATGGATATTTATAGCAGATTCAGATTCCCACTGCTATGCAGGAGAAGGGTTTTTTCATCTTAATGTTTTCCTCACTCTCACTTATAAATATTTAGACTCAGTAGAATTCTGTATTACACTTTATCTGTCTTTGTTTCTTTACCAGCTTTTACATAGAAAGTTTAACCAAAAATCACAAAAAATGGTGTTATATTAACAAATAAAGATCAAACTATCACAGGTACAAACTAGCACTGCACAATGCATTTACTACACCTTAACTGAAGTAGCTGGATAAAGGGTGTGCCAGTTTTTCTGTCATCTCCATGAGTTTGTCAGTGAAAGACAGGAAGATCCATGAGTACTCTACTCTTAAAATTGGGCTTTGAATCTCCTTGTTTCTCCACTGCTGAATCACTGTCCTGTTAGCACCGTGTCTTGAGACAAAATTCGGTCAGTGCCATCATGAACTCATTTTGATTCTCAAATTAACTGATAAATTGGGTTCTTTCTGGAATACTTGTGCATGGCCTTCGCTTTGTTTCTGAAGTGCAAGAACAATTTTTCCATCTCATTATCTCAGAAAGTGAATGGAAGTGGAGATGCCTGGTAGGACTGCTCATCTTTGGAATGTATTCATTGTTTCTCTGGGGAAAATCAGCAACAAATCTAGATTGGTCTTTCTCAACCATTCATTCAGTATTAAAACCATGTTCCAATCCTAAATGTCAGAGACAGAAGCTAACGAACCCATGAATAAATTTCAAAAATTCACACTTTATTTTATGCTCTCCTACAACACCATTTTGAATTAAAAACAGAGTTTAAACCATTAACCTCTTTCATTTTGTAAAGATAGTTCCATAACACACAGAAAACATTAAGAAAATAATAAATTTTTAAAACTAATTTCCAAGCTAATATGAAAGTTATTACTTGAAGCTTAATATTATCATATGTACCTGTAAAGGTTGGTCAATTACAAGTTACCCATAAACCCTTTTTTGTTATTTTAACATCATAAATAGTAATCTGGCATTAAATATTTGTGCTCTGGGCCAGTAACCTTTTTCAGTCTCACAGGACTTTTTTTAATTAAACTATATCTTTGTCCCATGTCTATAATCCTCTCTTTGACATTTTATATACAAGACACCTTGCTGCAAAAAGGTCAAGCAGTACAGTTATAAATGGAAAAGAGATTAAAAGTATTCTCAAGCCACAGTGATCTAAAAGAGAGTTAAATATGGAGTGTTCTTCACAGGCTTCCTTAGATAAGTTAAGAGGAAACCCTGTTGGCAGATTTTTATTATAAGAGCACCAAAGCAAATGAAAATTATTTGACAAAAATGAATAATGCACAAATTTAATTTGCATATTGGAATAATTATCTCTAAAAGAACACTATAGGGTTTTGTCTCCATAACACTTTCATGTAGACTGTTGCCAAACACAGCTTATGTGTTTATATAATTTTTCCTTTTAACATAGTTTTATTGTAAAAATAAAACCCCAAAACAACTCAGTAACATCTTGTTACAGTTAATTAAAACTTTTTTTTTTTTTCTTTCCTCTGCAAGAGAAACGTGAGGGAACTAAAATGCTTCTTGCTGGAAAGTCTATGAGAAATTCAAGAATGGAAAATGGCAAGAGATATTGCAGGAGCTAGTGTAAGTCAGAGAAGGGTAGTTATAAAGTAGTGTAAGTAAACGTAGCCACAGTACAAGTGAGTGACTTTATTTTCATCAGAACATTAAGCAGAAATTGAAGAAACATTTTTACCCAGTATTCTCCAGCTGGCATCTTGTGACCTCAACTTGCTCACTCTATGCCACACTGGAATAGTTTTAATGGTGTACATGGGTACAACTAAACAATACATTAGTTGTAATGTCTTAAGTAACCTACCAAAGCATAGTACCCAATTGCTGAAATGCTGTTGTGTATCTTTCAGAATCTACTTTGTTACCCCCAAGAGGCCAAACCCTGATCTGGAAACTCTTTACTGCTAATTTCTTTCTATCAATTTTACGTAGTCCAGTGAAATAAGAGTATTTCTTCTAACTGTGTCATCAGACCACCCGTTGTTTAGATGCAAATGCTGAAGAAAGCATTGTTTGCAATGACCCCAAGTTCTCTGTTGCACTTTTGCATAGTCTGTTAATATGTGTGTTTTCAAGTGGCCCATTGTCTGACTTATATAGAGAAGAGAGTTTTTACACCATCCATTTAAAACTATTTCAGGCATTTAACTGAGGTGTGATGCAAAGGATCTAAGTTTAGGGGCTGAGTTTCCGGAAGTCTCTCTTCCCAGACTGCTAATCAATGTGCCTAAATTAGCAGAGTTAGTGGAGATACCCAAAAGATCCCAGTGCAGCCATAGGATTTGTGGGAACAGCAAAGACAGGGTTAGTATATTTTCATTACAGATCTAAATTTACGTCAGAGTGCTGCTATTCAAATTCTTAGGTGTAATATGAGCTTCAGTCCTGTTCTTTCTGTCTTCCTTTCTGCCACTTTAATCTTTGTATGCCCTAAATTAAAGGTTACTTAGTTTCCAATTTCTTTCAGCTGTTAGGAGATTGCATAAAGTAACCAAACTGTTGGTATCCAACAAATCCAGTTCCTGTCCAAAGAAATTAGACACCCTGTTTGTAGAACGTCATATCTGACTGGGCTAGATTAGCAGCTCTGAGCCTGTTGACTCAGTCCTGTTAGATCTGTGTGCTAATGAAATAAATATGCAAAAGAGAATCCATAGCAATTTATAAGGTAAAAACTTACCAGTAGTGCAAAGTATAACAAATGTGAAGCCAACTACACATTAGTGTGAGGGTTCAGCGTCATAAACTGGACACCATCCTCACATGCACACAGACTCATGCATATGAAGTCCTATCTACTTACTTGTGTACAGGGTTTGCTGTTTTCAGCTGTTCAAAATGAAAGCAAGCTTGTGACAGTCACACGCTGCATACCTCTAAGGCAACTCTTGGAAGACGAGGGAGCTCCATTACAGAGGGTGCACTGCAGAGCTTGGGCTTGGGCTTGGCACACGGTGAGACTTCCCATCTCTATCACTTACATGCACTGGCACTCCTGTGAATCAGGTATTTCATCAGCTTTCGTAAGAGGAAAACAAATAGCTTTTTTGTTGTTGTTGTTGTTGTTACTCAAAGTATGTTTCCACTGGAAAAGATAACTTTGAATATATTTTAGGCATATTGTGGACATTGTTTTAAAACTTGTTTTAAAACCTACAGGTTCATCCACCTGAGGCTAGGGTTATATATGACACTTTGGTCGACCTAAAAGCAAGCTGCCATGAAAGTGTCTCATTTTTACCATTTTGCCAGTCTTCTCCATTTGTACTGGCTTTGGCACTTGCCTTTCCCTGGATTGAAGTGGTTAACTCACTAAACTGGTAGAAAAATGTCTGATTATCTTTCTGCAAATGTTAATTGTCTTCTAATTTAAATCCCTAAATCTATTTTCTATGGGATCAGAGAAGTCCCAAAGACAGTGCCGGGAAGTAGCAGAAGCATTTGGGTAGACGAGGAACGAAGGGGACAGCAGTCTGCTACTGTAGTGGCTCAATAGTGACACAAAACTTTTCACTCAGTCTCTCTTCTGCACAAGTTGCTTCTCATGAGACGTGGTTTGCCTTGACACTCCTAGGCTGCACTCTTGTTGCCCTTGCAGATGATATAGTTAAAGAACAAGCAACAAAATCAAGTTTTGATTGCTTTCTGGTTTTCTGGGTATTCATGGGATCAGCGGGCCTGAAATTTGCTCCAACCACCTATGGCATTGCACTTATGTTTCAGTTTCCATAACCATGCCAGATATGTCTTGGTTTCTT